TAATTTTATTGGTTTTGGAACTGGTTTACTCTTCTTTTTCCACATTCTTGAGATGTATCATTGGGTTGTTTATTTGGGATTTTTCTGACTTTTTTTTATCTAGACACTCATAGCTGTAAACTTTCCGCTTAGAACTTTCTTCACAGTTTCCCAGATATGCCAGTGGAAGTGACCTACAACAGAAGCTGATTCAAATAATTCTTAGCTTCTCAACTTCTGTTTCCTCCAGTCTGATGGGATGGGAAGTACTGTCAGAACAGATCAATACACTCCCAGGGGCCACTGCAGAATTCTGTTTGTGGAGTTCTGGAAGTTGGGGCTTAGGTCTAATCAGGCTTCTGGGCTCTGTTGGGTGGTATTTGCTCTGGAGAGATTAGATCAACACACCCCTAGGGATTGGCAGTTGCAGATCTCTGCTGCGAGTCTGGATCTCAGGAGCCTGCCAAGGATTCTATTTGTGGGGTGGGAGAGCCAATCCTTTACCCTCTCTGCTGCCCATGAACACATCCTTTCCAGGCTCCCTATGCTTAGTTCCTGAGTATATTCACACATGTTTTTTCAGATTCCTGAAGTGTTTGAGAAGGGTCATGTGAGCCAACAAACTCAAAGGGGGAAGCAAGGTAGGCCCTCTTCTCTTTTACAACTTGAGTTCCCCTGGATAATATAAGCTCTATGACTATTTCACTCCTGTTCTGCTTTGTACACCTTAGGTCATGTGGTAGGTGCTTGCAAGAACAATGTGGCTATGTTTGCCCAGATCTCTTGATTCCTGCAGCAGCAGCTGCAGCAAAGCCACCTCAAGATTTCTCCTACCTCAGCTCTTTGGCCACTTGGGAAACATGAGGCACTTTTTATGCACCAGTATGCCATGCATCATTTGGATCTGCTAAGAGAAGGCTGCTTTTCTGATCTCAAGTTTTCCATATTAAATCTGTTTGTTATGTTTCTCTCTGTGCTGAACAAGCACTACTACTGCTGCTGACACAACTAGCTTGGCTCCAATGTATTCTTTCTTCTTCATCAAGACACTCTGGCTGTCCACCATTGAGTTTTAGTAAGATTCCTCTTTTCATCTCAGAGAGAATGGATGACTAGGAATCTAGCCTTCCTCTATCCTTCCATGTTTTATATATGATCACCACAAACCAATAAGTGCAATGAAGGACCTATGTTACTGCTAGGAGTCATACAGAATGGCTGGTGCAATTAACATTAATGGATTTTTTTAAAGTTCTAACAAGATTTTCATGAAAGAAACCAAATTACCATCTTAGGAAGTTGAGAGTAAAAGAAAAGACCCATTAAAATCAGAACAATCCTGCTCAGATCCCAGTTTTTGTTGATGTGACCTTTGACATGCACACTTCTCAAAGCCTTGGTCTCCTAATCAGTACAGTGGAGACAGTGAGATTCATTTCTCAGGACTTTGTGAGATTCATGATCTAAATGTGTATAGATCAGAGAATGAACACAGTAGGCCTTTAAAAACAGTTCATTTTCTCTTAATGATGCAAATATTCATGCATACAGTATTCAATGTTTAAGAAAAAATGGAAACATTTTGTTATATAAAAATGGGTATTTTATCATCTCACCATGCATTATGTATCACACACACACACACACACACACACTCAACACATCCTGAGATGAACAGTGGAGACAACTAAAATTCTATTTCAAACAGAGTGAGTAATGAAGAAGTAACTACAAAAGTGACAAGAAGCCCCTACACATATGACAGCTAGTTATGAATTTTCACAGTGTCCACAGGCAAACATTCCTAGTGGAGCCCCATTTCTTTTTGACTAATAAGAAATGTTTGTTTGAAGCAGGAACTCATCAAATGCACTTCATGTGGAAGAATTCTCTCCTAGAGAATTAACACTCTATCCTCAAGTTCAAAAATTCCCTTTTCACTTTTTTATCTTGTTTTTCCAGGAGGACAAGCCCTAGCCACAAGCTCTGTTGTAGTGAAATGAAAGAAAATTGATAGATACAGGGTATACTATGAATTAAGTTCATCCATACATATATCTCTTTCAGCTATATCTATAAATAATTGTGATACTAAAAACTAAATGTGAAACAGAATTCAAGATTTCAAACTGAGGTGGAATTTGAGTTAAACTTTGAATATTCCAGACCTTATTCATTGCACAGGTTTACAATGCTTGGTTGGAGTTGGAAGGATGGTATGTCAGGTACAGTTTCTAGATCTAGACCCGTTCTAAGGCCAAAGATCTGCAACTGGCCCTATATGACATTGGGGGTTGCTCTCCCAACAGTCACAGGGATGATTGAATTATATGAAGAGTAGATAAAACGGTTGATTTGCATATTCTAAAAAGCAATATACCAGTGCATGGTACTGGAAACCAAGTACGCAGTGGGCAGATTATAGACAATGATAATATACTGCATTTTTCCAAAAGGTAGAAGAAAGGAGTTTGAATGTTTTCACCAATAAGACATGATAAAATTTTTAAGAGATTAAAGTATTTATCCTAACTTGAACATTACATAATGTACAGATTTATGGAAATATAACATGATACCACTGAAGTATGTATAATTTTATGTGTATATGTGCATTAAAATAATTTAAATTTAATAAATCACTGAAAAAATCATCTTTAAAAATGTGAAGTCTTTGACGTTCAAGGATTAATGCTTAATTTTAAGATTGGGCTAGAGCTTTCCTTGGAAAGATTATTTTTGAACTTCCTTACCCTGTAGTTCTAATTATTTTTTTATATGTAAAGTCAAACATTTGTTTGGTCAGTATAAATGATAACAGTGTTTACTTTGTAATGATGGATGTTCTGTGTTTTAGCCAGCTTCTTCACTACTATGAGTAAAAGACCCAACCAGAACAATTTTAGAGGATAAAAATGATAAAATTTTTATTTAAGGGCTCATGGTTTCAGAGATCTCAGTCCATAGACAGCTGGCTCCATTCCTCAGGGCTCCACATGAGGCTGAATATCATCAAGGAAGAGTGTGTTGGTGGGAAGCAGCTCACATGATGATCAGGAAGCAGGAGGAGAGACTGCACTCACCAAATACAAATGTTTTCTTCAAAGCCATGCCCCCAATGACCACCTCCTCCAGCCATATCCCACCTGCCTTTAGTCGCCACTTAATCAATCCCATCAAGTGATTAATTCACTGATTATGTTAAACCAATCATTTCCTCTCTGAACCTTCTTGAATTGTCTCACATGTGAGCTTTTGGGGAACACTTCACATCCAAACCATAACATTCTGTTTCCCATACCTATCTACTCAGAAATTTACAAAGTCAAATTTCCTTGTCAAAACAACAGGGACACTCAGTGCTATCACGTTAGCCATTGAATCTGTAAGTACTGAGTGTGGTTTAACCTGAATATCCAGTTAAATCTCACAAATTAGTTAGTTATTTTCGCTAGTCTTTGAGTTACACCAGGAAATAAGAGTGTCCATGGGAACATTTGGGCCATGAACTTCAGAATTATAATCAGGTGGTTATTGTTGGCACAAGTTGCCTATTACTCTGTAAATGTTAGTGTGAACATAAGAAATGTCTAACCCTACATTGAAGCATAGGGTGTAAAGGTAGTTCTTCATACTAGAATCATAATTTTTGTCTGGAGCTCTGTCCTAACAGCCAACTGAAGACCCAGAGGTTTGGGTCTAGTTTGTGGTTATCTTTTTAGTAGGGGAAACCACAGGTCTCAGGGTTCCTGTAATCTGCTTTCAGATCTCACATCACACAAAACCTGAGAATATGAGGTCCTCCTCATCTCTGTTACCAAAGAAGGCAAATTATTTGGAAGTTTAAGAAATTAGCATCAATTTTACCACACATCCTCGTCATGTATTACAGGAAATCGTGCACTTTTTACACTCACTGAGAAGAGAAAGTTTGAGGATAAAAGCAACATGTTCTGGAAATTTGGGTGAGGGCCTGGGATTGTGAACAATAATTTTTTGGGGGCTACTTATTCGACATTGTTTAGGCATGATATAATGGCATAGATTTGCTGCAGTTGCTGTTCTTATTTCTGAGGTGTGATTAGTAAAACATTGGACATGAAAAAGTCCTGGGTCACTCTAACACTGCAGAAAACAGGCTAGTGCCACCAAATTTGAACCAAATTCAAGGTGACCCAGTTGGGACTGTTCTGAAGCTTCATAGCAAAGACTAAGAAATCTGGGCCTTGGGTCATCAGCAGATCCTTCTGGAGGTGGCAAAGAGTTCATACGTTTATTCATAAAATAATGTCAATCTCTGCCTTGCACATGCTCTGATGGTTGATGGCAAGGAATCTGCTCCAATTTTAGGATTTTAGAAGTGAGAGGAAGCCACAAAAATGAAGGGCAGTAAGGAGCCATGGAAGTACAGCATGATTAGATGGAGCATAGCATCCATTAGATGCAAACCTCATCCCCTTCTTAACAGTGTGGTGGTCACATACTTAGTCTATATCAGAGCTGGTTGAGGTCTGGGTCTTCATCTGGGAAGATAAGGCATAGTTGCTACACCTCCATTTTGAAGAATGATATGCAATGCTGCTAAAAGAAGCTTAGCACTGACCACAGGATAGGCAGGAAGATGCACTGAACTGAGACTCTGAAGATAGGAGTGTAGCCCATCCTCTGTGGATCACTTGCTTGGGCAAGCCAGTTGCCTTCTCTGGGTCTTAGCCTCCTTATTTAAACAGTGAGCAAAAGGCTTGTTATGGTTTAGATATTAGGTGCCCCCTAAAAGCTCATGTGTGAGACAATGCAAAAAGGCTTAGAGGTGAAATGACCGGGTTATGAGAATCTTAAGACAAAAGTGAATTATTCCCCTAGTGGGATTAACTGAGTGGTAACTGAAGATAGGTAGCATGTGGCTAGAGGAGGTGGGTCATTGGGGGCATGGCTTTGGGGTATATACTTTTTATCTAGCAAGTGGAGTTTCTCTCTCTCTCTCTCTCTCTCTCTTTCTCTCTCTCTCTCTCTCTCTCTCTCTCTCTCTCTTCCTTCTGATCATCATGTGAGCCACTTCCCTCCACCACACTCTTCTACCATGATGTTCTGCCTTACCTTGAGCCCCAAGGAATGAAACCAGCTGTCTACCAACAGAGACCTCTGACCATGAGCCCCAAACAAACTTTTCTCCTCTAAAATTGTTCTGGTCAGTCTGTTAATCACAGCACTGAAAAAGCTAACTGAAACAGAGCTAAATGTGTCCCAAGGACCCTCCTGTTCCAAAACTTGTGAACCTGTGAATGACAGCATTGGGGAGAATGTGTGGTTGCTCAAATATGAATGCAGCTGAGGGGTCATAATAAGAAGGTTCTCATTCAGGCCCCTTGTGAATATGACATTGTGAGGTCCCAGCAGGCACAGTGGTATTTGGCTTGCTAGCAGCATTATTGATTATCAATTAAAATAGATCATTTTCTCTTTTAATTGTCTCCATGCAGGGGTTGGGCTTATCTTAATTATAAGTTTTAGCTGAGCCATAAAGGATCTGCTTCAGGGGCTCTCCTTCTGTCAGTTAATACCAGTGCACACTGGCATTCTTGAATGGACACCAGACAGCTTGCCACTGATATGCGATGGACTTCTGGAAAAAGGTAGACATTTATTTCAGTGTCTCCATCTGAAATGCAAGGAAATTAGAAGTATTAAAATTAGAAGAATTAAAAAACAGTGGAGTCAGCACACAAAAATAGCAAAAGAACAGAAAATGGGTAAAGTCAACCTACAAATCCAAGCCAAACACAAGTAAAACCATGGGGTTGGCATTCCCAGTGACTAGTGAGAAAAGACACTACAAGGGAATGTTAAGACCTGGGATATAGTGGCAGCCCTCATACTGAAGAGAAAGAAAAGGCTTGTTTCTGAGCCAATGGAAGTCCTGAATAGTGAGATGTGCCACAGCATTATTTTATTATGTTCCTGATGTGACGGTACTATCAAATCTGGGAAGAGCTCACAGGAAACAGCTGTGTTACCATATGTGTTACCTTCTCTTGAAAGGAATTCCTTCCCTGTTGTCCTATTAGTTTAGCTTCAAAACCACTTATCCATGACCTCTTTTCCACTTCCTGTGTTTTATATATTTTCCCATATCATACAACTTGTAGATAGCTATGCCTATGCCTGTCATGAGCAAGGAAATAAAGTGTCATTATTATAGAGAAACAAGTGAAATAACCTTTCACAGTTCCAGTATTATGCACATTTTATAGACCAGCAGTTTGCCCAAAGTTTGCAGCTTGATAACTATTAACCATTAGTGTAGTTATAGACACTTTAATGTGACTATATTCAGTTATGAATGAAGCAAAATGATAGAATAAAAAGAATCTTGTTTCATGACCCTCTTTTCTTGTCCTATTCATACTTTTCAGTTTTTCAGAGTTGAAGCTGCATGTTAGCATTGTTGGGAGGACAGCACAGATATGATTTTCTCAGAGTTTCTAAGTGTTCCCTTTGAGCAGAGATAGCTCAGTGATGCGATTGACTCATCATGGGAGAGACACTGAGATTTGTTAAGGATGATGTTTAGAACTTTCAGAGACACCACTGTGCAATCCTCAGCAACCCCATGTGGTAGTTAACACTGGCCACTTAAATTGGGAAAACAGAAAGAAAGGCTTTAGTGACTTGTCTGGGCCACACTGCCAGTGAGTGACCCAGTAGGAATGCAAAACTCAGGCCTGCTCATTCAAAAGGCCTTGTGTTTTCCACTATTCATTCATTCATTCATTCACTCTGTCAAAGTCAACAAACCACCATGAGCCAGGGATAACGTTCTCCTTCTCAGGCAACTTCCCATAAATGGATAAGCAGGGATCATTTAGGACACTTACAGAGCCAGCCCAGGGCCAGAGGGTGAGGAAGACCATGCAGCTCCTAATGAGGAATCGTCACAGCCTGGCCTCTTGGGCTTCTGCTGAGACCTTGCCCAGGACATATGAGCAGGAGGAAGATATTCTGTGGATAGTGGTCAGGCCTCTCTGGAAGCTGGAAAGAATGAGGTGTGCACATGTGGGACCACCTGGGAGGGATTTTGCAAAGTGAAGGGGCAGCATTTTGACAGAGTGCATCCCAACAGGCACAGTAGTATATTCCCTCATCCTCCTGAGCTACTCGGTGTATTCTGAAGCTGAAGATCAAGTTATTCTGCTATTTCTTTGCTTCATATCTGTCCCCATTAACACCTCGCTCATGAATAAAATGTTCATTTGATGAAATATACAGAATTAGTTTTAGAGGCTGGTCTGGCTTTTGTGGGTACCAGTGCATATATGCATTATTCCTTCTGGTGTTTGTTTTCATTTGGCATTCAAGAAATGCTGTATTTCCTCTTTTCTTGATGATGTTTGCTGCAAATTGTGAGATGAGAATGTCTCCACTTGTATCTAAAGAAAATCAGAAAGAAAGAACGTTGAAAGTTTTCAAAATTGTGAAATATTTAAGCTTATTGAATATTATGTGATTTTTCTCAATTTATGCAGAGCTTGGTGTCTAGGGTTGATGTTTTCTTCCTGAAGAATTAACTCATGGTCATGCTGAGTGTCCTTTGAATGACCATGTAGCTGGAAAAGCCTCCCTTGCAGGGGCGGGCGGCGGCTGTGCTCCTCCTCCAATTGGGGTGATCTGTCTACCACACTGATGGGCCGCTGGGCCTGTTCTGCCGGTCGGATGCAGGTCTGCCTACCTTGTAGGCACGGGCGGCGGCTCTGCTCTGCCCCTACTCCAACTGGGGTGTCCTGACTACCACGCCAGCGGGCCGCTGGGCCTGTTCTGGGCGCGGGCGAAGGCTCTGCTCTGCCTCTACTCCATTTGTGGTGACGTGTCTACCACACCGGCAGGCCGCTAGGCCTGATCCGCAGGTCAGACGCAGCCTACCTTGCGGGCGCGGGCGGTGGCTCTGCTCTGCCCCTACTCCAATTGGGGTGACGTGACTACCTCGCCGGCGGGTCGCTGGGCCTGTTCTGGGTGCAGACGGCGGCTCTGCTCTGCCCCTCTGGCTTGATGACAAAGTGAGAGAGAATCGGGTGTATGTGACTCACTTTCTTTACCAGGAGACCAACTATCTGTTGCCGCTGGTATCAATGAAGTTATCTCCTCCACCGCCTTCTGATGACATCAGATCTCTGCCATGTTGGTATCCCATGCAAATGGCAGCATTTCATTTCCTTTGCCGGGTGACCAAAGCAACGGGTGAGTCCTGACCGGCCCTCACAAGCCCCGTCTCAATCCTGTTGCCACTGCCTATGAAGGCTCGGTTGGTATTTACCTCCACAGTATTCAGCAGGACCGGGACCGAGAAGCAGTTTCCCCAGGTTCTTTAGCCCTGGGCCAGAGTAGTTCCGGGAGCCGGAATTCGGCCGCTCCGGGCTCGGTGTATGTTCTGATAGGAGCAGGCTCCAAGAAGCAGTTTCTGCGGGTTCTTTAGCACTGAGCCTGAGTAATTTATCTGCGAGACACAGGCGAACAGCAGCCTGAAATTACCTGTTCTATAGCTGAATGAGCTGCGATCAGTCGAAAACAGGGATGGTGACATCAGCTCTCCAAGATGGTGGCCGCTGGCTTCCTCTTTGGTCTGACCAGTGTGGAGAACCGAATTGGACCGCTTCCTTCCCCCGTCTCAAACCCAGAATTCAGTACTGAGTACAGTAATTGCACAGCTGGCAGGAGTCCGCAGAATCCGCAGCGCTGTATCTTTGCGTTGCTATCTCGACGTTTCCCAGCGTGCGCTGCAGACTCTAGCTGCGGGGCGATTTGCTGAATAAGCAGCGTGACCCTCCGTGCGGGCAAATCGCTCGCGATTGAGCCCCCGTAGCTGATCCTCGTGCGATGGAAATCCTTCCTCTAGGTTTTGGAGCACCCCAATTTTGCTGGAAATTCCTAACAAGATAGCTTTTAGCCGTTCTAACTCGTCTTTCTCCCGCACAGTGACGCGGTACATGTTGGTGATGCACTCCCTTCGCCACCATCTTCCCGGGTCCCAGAATGATACTTCCGATGCTACGAGAAATAAATAAAAAACACAACTTATGAATGTTGATGAATAAGAAATAGAAAATAAGAATAGTTTTTAATGTCCTACAGAAATAGTCTTCATAGTAGGAACTATCCTGGCAAAGAACAATCCAGTAGACATTTATAAAATATTTGAAGAAGAGATATTTTCAATCCTACTCAAATTTTTCTAGAGAATTAACAAGAAATAACCTTCAGCCCTTTTCTAAACTTTTAGGCATTTCACCTATGATATAATGCAAAGGTGACTAAGACCCCAAAAAAGAAGGAAAATTGTAGTCAATCTTACTTTGATGCACAAGTTACAAACAACACCTTAGCAAATCAAATCCTGCAATACTAATAATTTACCCTAATAGTTTGAATTTGTTTTAATATTTGGAAATCAAACAATAAAATTTACATTGTTAACAAAATACAGAAGAAAAGTTTTATGATAACATGAAAGATATCAAACAGGAATATTTTGAAATTCAATTTTCTTTAAAGACAGAGCCTCTCAAAAACTGGGAACAGAAGTAAATGCTATTAGGGCTGGGGTTGTGGCTCAGTAGTATAGTGCTCACCAAGCATATGCGAGGCCCTGGATTTGATCCTCAGCACCACATGAAAGTAAATAAATAGAATAAGCTATTAACTTGTAGAGAGTTTCCAAAACAAAGAAATAAAATCTACAGCAAACTTCACATTTAATGGAAAACTATTTAGAATTTTATTTCATCAATCAGGGAATGCTTGCTCCTACCACTTACATTCAACAGCACACCTGGAGTTTTAGCTAGGACAATATAGAAAGAAAATGAAAGAAAAGATAAATAAACTAGAAAGGAGGAGTGAAGCCTATCATTATAGCCTACATGATGGAGAAAATGGATGTGGAAACAAAGAAGTAGCAAAATTACTTTATTAAAGTCATATATTTGTGGAATTTTAATTAAAACCTAGGATTTGAATTCAGTCTAGTGTGCTTTCAGCTTTGTCATATATTCTTTTCATAATAGAGGAAATTGTATTCCCAAAAGGTCTTTTTTTTAATCCTCAAACAACTTCTGGATGCATCCATATACACTTAGTAAATGAGAATATTCACATGCACACATGAAATTTATAAATTGTGTACATATTAGAAAGCCTATTGTTAATATATCTATTCATTTTGTTTCTGCTTTCCAAGTATCATTCAGTCTTCAAGCAGCAAAGACTACAATTCTGGGCTATAAACCAATTTCCCTTTTTCTCCAAAATAATGCTCACTGTACCAAACAGAAACATTGTCCCTGCAAATTTCTTTTGTGACACTCCATGAGTCTCTTTAATCCATTTTGGATTACTTGTGTCACAACTGCTAATGCCCAGAGACAATAGGAAAGATGGCTTAAGGGCATATCAGGAATTTGCCAGACAATGCCCATTGTAAGCTCAGGGTGTACAAGTATCAACTCCTACACAGGGATGCACAGAAAGTTGTTTTCCCAGGATGTGTTTCATCAGGCTCAGTCACCCAGGCACTCAGAAGCTGCTGTAGGCTTGGTCCCAGAAGACCCCACTAGTTTTTGAGCTGGAAGCAGACTTTGGTGTCATCCACGTGGTGGTGCTGGTTCTGCAGGAAGGCAAAATGTTGGAGTTAGAGGCCCCATGGAATCTTCCACTAAGATTTCAGAGGAAGGCCAGGGAGGTGAGGCAAAGGGCAGCAGGGTCAGAATCCCTACAGTTCTTGGTAGGGCAATGCGCAAAGCTGTGAAGGTGAATTCAAAGTTAAAATGGAGACCCTAGGAATTAAGAGATGCCAAAAATGTGGACTGTCTGATGAAGAAGACTTCTGGCTGCAGAGAAAACCAGGCCAAGAGGCAGGCCATGAGCACTGCAACTGGCCAGGCCCTTCGAGAGAACATCTCACCAATGTGCCCTAGTTGCCAGAGATGGAGCTAGGGGGAAAAAAAAAAACAGAAAACAAAAAAACATTTCCTGACTGGATTTAGGTCTTGTTTTGATCCTATTCCTTCTTTCTATTCCCCTGTTCTTGCTTATTAGAATGAGAGTGTTTACCCTCTGCCATTATATAATAGATGTTTGTAGCTTGCTTTTGATCATTACAGGAGATCAAGTCTGTTCTTAAGTCTCAGATGACATATTAGAATTAGAATTTGGGTAATCCTTGAGCTGTTAAGATTATGGGGATTCTTGGAAATGGACTAAATGCATGTTTTTCTTGTGAAAGGGACATGAGCTTCTGGGAACCTGAGGCAGAACTCAGTTTTGGGGATATGAGGTGTATCCCCCAAACTCCTGGATTGATGCAGGGATATTGAGGTGGAATGATGAGATTATGAGAGCTGTCACTGAATCGCTTCATCCTATTTTGAATCAATAACTGAGTGGTAACTGTAGGTAGGTGGGAATTTGCTCCAGGAGGTAGTTCATTGGAGGTGTGCCCTGGAAGGGTGCAACTTCCCTGGAGCTTCCTACCCTGCCCGCTCTCTGTTTCCTGGCTGCCATGAGGAGAGCAGTTTTACTCTGCCTTACTCTTTTGCCATGATGCTAGGCCTCACCTCAGGCTGAGAGCAATGGAGTTGACCAACTGTGAACTGAACCTATAAATCATGAACCTAAAGTAAACTATTCTTCTTTTAAGTTGTTCTCATTAGGTATTTTGAAAAAGCTAACTAGCAGAGAAGGCTACAGAACAATATCCTTGATAAACAAATGTGCAGAAATCTTCAACAAAATAGAGAATAAATTCCATCAACATATTAAATAATACATAATGGTTAATTGCAGTTTAGCCTGGGTATATAAAGTTTCAATATATGAAAAATAATATGATCTGTCTACTAAAAATCTGAAGAAGTAAAGCTACCTGGTCACATCAGTTGTTTCATAAATTACTTAACAAAATTCAATATCCATTCATAATAAAAACTCATGGAGGCCAACTTGGCCAGGTGGGCTGCGCAGAGCTCTGCAGGGCATGGCAGGACCAGCCACCACCTCCCTGGGCCCCCTGCTCTACCCTGGCTCAGAGCAGCGCTGGCCCGTGAAGCTGGAGCCATGCAGTGAGAATCGGGGGTCATGCTGGATTTCGAAGTCAGGGAGGAGTTTCATGAAGAGCCCAAAACCTACTAGGAACTCAAAAGTCAGCCCCTGAAGAGCAGCAGTTCTGTGGAGCATCCAGGGGCCTTGAAGCCTCTGGTAAGCTACTCCAGTATGACATCAGGCATCTTGCTAAGCCAGCAGCTCTGGCTTGTACAGATGCAGGAGCAGGAGTGCAGACAGCAGCAGCAAAAGCTGCAGTTGGCCCAGTTCCTGCAGCAGAGAGTGCCCGCGAGCCAGACACCAGCCATCAACATCAGCGCACCCACAACCCTTTGCTCTGCCACCCAGGTGCCCATGGAAGTCCTTAAGGTGCATACCCACCTCGAAAACCCCACCAAGTACCACATACAGCAAGCGCAGCGGCAGCAGGTAAAGCAGTACTTTTCTACCACTTTAGCAAACAAACATGCCAACCAAATGCTGAGCTTGCCATGTCCAAACCAGCCGGGCGACCGCGTCATGCCACCGGTGCCGGGGAGCAGCGCGCCCAACAGCCCCATGGCCCTGCTCACGCTTAACTCCAACTGTGACAAAGAGGGGTTTTATAAGTTTGAAGAGCAAAACAGGTAAAGAGCGAGTGCCCCAGCATGAATGCACACCCATGGGCTTCAAGCTGCAGATGGATGATGTCATCGATGACATCATTAGCCTGGAATCAAGTTATAATGAGGAAATCCTGGGCTTGATGGACCCCGCCTTGCAGATGGCAAACACAACACGTTACCTGTCTCTGGAAACTTGATCCACCTTTAAGGCAGCCAAGGCCTGCAACACCCCAGCCACCCACCCACTCCCGGCCTCAGGATCAGCAATTCCTGTCCTGCCAATCTCCCCAACATCAAGCGGGAGCTCACAGAGTCTGAAGCGAGAGCTCTGGCAAAGGAGAGGCAGAAGGACAATCACAACCTGATTGAACGAAGAAGATTAACATAAACGACCGCATTAAAGAACTAGGTACTTTGATTCCCAAGTCAAATGATCCCAACTTTCGCTGGAACAAGGGAACCATCTTGAAGGCATCCGTGGACTACCTCCCGGAGCTGCAGCGAGAGCAGCAGCGTGCCAAGGAGCTGGAGAGCCGGCAGAAGAAGCTGGGGCATGCCAACCCGCACCTGCTGCTCAGAATCCAGATGCAGGCCTGGGCTCACGGACTCTCCCTCATTCCATCCACCGGTCTCTGCTCCCCGGATCTGGTGAACCAGATCATCAAGCAAGAGCTGGTACTGGAGATCTGCAGTCAGAACCTCCTGCAGCACCAGGCAGACCTGGCGTGCACCAGCCTGGACCTCACAGAGGGCACCCTGGCCTTCAGCAGCAGCCTGGGGCCTGCGGCCGAGGGCGCCCAGCCTACAGCGACCCGGCTAAGATGGGGTCCAAGCTGGAAGACACCCTGATGGACGACACCCTCTCTCCTGCCGGGGTGACTGACCCACTCCTGTCCTCCGTGTCCCTGGGAGCCTCCAAGGCTAGCAGTTGGAAGAGCAGCATGAGCATGGAGGAGGCCGAGCTAGCATGTTAGATCACCTGCCCTCGTTTCCTCAGATGGCCCCTTTCCCTGACTAGGACACGCGGCATTACCCTGAAGGGGTTTTCTTGATAATCTTCCTTTAATGTGATTTTTTCCCATGCTTTATTGATAGTCCAGGATATATTTTATTTTTAGAATTTTGTGAAACGGACTTGTATATTCTATTTTGCAACTCAAAATGCCTCCAAAGTATTGTACAGTGCGTGTGCAGGATCTGTGAACTGAGCTCCCGCAGACGCCCCCTCCAAGCCCAGAGGTGCCTGTAGGGGCAGCCTCTGTCCATCCTAATTCAGGGGAAACTTGATTTGAGGTTTTCATGACTTCCTTGGCAATTAAATGTAGAATTTAATTGAAATAATGTAAA